ATGAATGAATTTGTTTATCGATCGATCGATCTATTCGATCTTTGATTGGTTTTTATTTAATGGAAACAAAAAACAGAAAAAAAAAGAAAATTGATGATCTAACGGTGTTTTTTTTGTTGTAAATATCTCCTGTGTATGTTTTGTTTTGTTTGTTTTTTGTGTTAAAATAGCAAAAACAAACAAACACAGAAAAATCATCAGTCAAACACACAGAATAAATGAAGTTAAGTTTAGTTTTTCATAATCATCACATCGCTCTGATATGATGATGATAATTCTGGCTTTGAAGCCAATTCCTTCGGGCAATTTCAATTCGCTCAGTGTGTGTGTACGTTTGTCATTTTCATTGTGATTGATAATCGATTATGGTCTCTATATGAGATTAACAGCCAAAAAAAAACTTTTCGACAATTTTTGTTTCTCTTCGAATCTACTTTTACACACACACACAAAACAAGTCAATATGATTTATATTACATCATCATCATCGATGGAAACCAAACAAAACAAAAAAATCCCAAAAAACATCATGAAAAAACTCTTGGGACCGGTGATTTTTTTTATCCTGATGATGATGATTCTCTGGTTTTCTCAAATAAAATGTCAGCGATCAATTCGATCGACATTGGCAAAAACCGCACAATAAAAGAACGAAAATACACCAGAAATTCAATTGAAAAAAAAATTAAATTTTAAAAAATCCAAACCAAACCAAACAACCAGAAAAAATGATTTCAAACAACCAACCAACCAACAAATACAATTTCCGTAACAAATTTATTTTAAAATGAAATTTTTCGTGGAACCAAACAGACACACACACATATCAAACTAATGCCGGTTTTTGGTTTCACAATGTTTGTTGTTTGTTGATTTGATCTGTGAAATGAAATGAATATTGAATTTTTTTTTCTTTTAAACCATAACTTTTTTTTTAAATTTTCATTTTCATTTCTGTTGTTGTTGTTGTTGTTGTTGTTGTTGTTGTTGTTCGCTTTTTGCAAAATTTTTTCAAGTGATCAATCATTCCGGGTGATGTTTTATTTTTTCTGAAAATTTCTCATTTTGCCTGATTGAAACGCTACACAAAGTTCCACAACCGAATCCATCTTTTTTTTCCAGTGAAAAATTCTTTGTTTTCCCCTTTTAATGCAATTCATTTCTGTTGTGTTTTTCCCTGGTTCCTTGTTTGTTTATTTTCTTTTTTTTCCTGAAAACTTTGCCAAGGAATTTTCCCATTTTTTTTGCTGATTCAAAAACCGATCAACGAATCAAGAATCCATTTTCAAATCCGAATATTTTTCTCTTTCCATTTCTTCTCGAATGTAAATTGAAATTTATTGAATAAATCGACTATATTTCCACTTAAATAACTCAAAGTCAATTCAATTCATTTATCCTGGTCGTACTAAAAATGGTTCACACTTTATTATTCATTACTTACAATATTTTGTTGTTGTTAAAAAAAAGCAATAAATAAATAATTGATTGATTCGACAATGCGATGCAATGCAATGAATGCAATTTATTGCTGATATTATTTTATTTTATTGTTTTTATTTCCTCTCTCTCTCTCTCTCTCTCTTGCTCTTTATTTGGCTATAGACATCAATAATCATCATCTGTATCATCAAATAAAAATTTTCAAAAAGATAGAATAATAATAATAATAAAAACAAAAGAGGGAAATTTTTTCGTTTCGTTTTTCGTTTTTCTAGTGAAATTTATCACAATCTAGCCAAATGAATAATCAAAAAAAAAACTAGGGCCATTACATCACAATATGGTGGCCACCTCATGAGAAATGAATGTATACCACCACCAATAATAATAATAAATTGTCTAAATGAACAGGACACCAAAATTTTTTCTTTTCTTTGCTTTTTTGGATCATATTTGACACGTGTTTATGATAAAGATAATGATAATGTACCATTTTTTTTTTTGTTTTTTTTCGGTGATCCAAACACACATACAAACCGCCTATGGATTTTACCACACACACATACATATTGTTTGTTTGTAATATAATATCGTTTTTCGTTGTTGGGATTATATCAAGCGAAAAAAAAAATCGATATTACAAATCATATAAATAATATTATCGAAGTCTTTCTTTTACGTTTTCATTGCAAAAGCAAAAACTTATGTTAGTTTATGGTGATGAAATTTTTTCTTTTGGCTGGATTGTGAAAAAGCCATTCAATGGTTTTAACAGAAATTTTTTTTTGGGCACCGTTGGTGTTTATGTAAACATCATTTTTGTAAAAAAAATTGTTGTCAGTTGTTGTTGTTGTTGTTGTCATTCGGAGAAAAATAAACAACAACCAAGAAAAAAACAACAACAACAATAACATTATATATTTGACAAAGCTTAATTATTAATTTTTATTGGTTTTTGTTTTTCCTGGCGAAAACTAGGCGAAAATAAATGTGTGAACATACGTCGGATATTGATCCATTTTTTTCTGTTTGTTTGTTTAATTTGTTCAAAAAAAAAAATATTTAATATTATGGCGCAATAATGGCAAATAATAAAACAAAATAATGAAAATTTTTTTCTCTTGATTCTTGAATATATAATAATGATATTTATGACAAGAAATATTGCATACAATGAATTTAGTTTTTTTTTCATGATGTTTTCTGGTGTGTGTGGGTGGATTGTCATCGGATGATGAGAGTGTGAATGTTTGCACCTTTGTTTATTTTTATCGAATTCTGAAATGGTTTGTTTGTTTGATTTTTTTTCTGGTTTCAGGTTTTTGTTTGTCGATCAAATATAAGCGCACGCGTTTTTTTTTGTTGTTGTGAGAAATATGCAAATTTTTTTTTTGTTGATGAATGTTTTTTCCATCTGGTTCGATTCATTAAAAAAAATTTTTTGTTTTTGTTTTTTTTTTCTTATTATTATCATCATCATTAATAGGCCTGGTCGTCCACCAAAACGTAGTTCAGGAATACCAAGTCCAGAACCAGGAAATTATTCTGGTTCCATTTCAGGATCGCATTTAAATTCATCATCAACGCCAACAACAACAACAGGAACATCACAACAACAACAAGCGGCAAATAATTTATTACCATTATTAGGTTTTACAAATGCAGCAGCAGCCGCTGCTGCAATATCAAATAATAATAATAATAATTCATCAAATAATAATGAAAATGTAACGAATAATAAAAAAGCAAGATATTCATCTAACGCAAATGGTTTAGATTGCGATTATGTTAAACGTACTTATAATAAAAAACATACAAATCGAACATCATCACTTTATGATTCAATACAATCGATTCATAATCGATTACGTTTATCGGATTTAGATTTAAATAAACAATTAAATAATAGCAATGTAAATAATAATAATAATGCAGCAGCAGCAGCGGCTGCTGCTGCTGCAAATTCTGCTGCAACAGCGGCAGCAATGTTGGCCGCAAATGGTTATCAAGCTGCATTTCCATTCTTGCAACATTTAAGTGCAGCAGCCGCTGCACAGCAACAACAACAAAATTCATTATCTTCTTCGACAAATCATCAGACATCGACAACAACATTATCATCAAGAGAACAACGTGAACGTGAACGTGAACAACAAATTGTAGCAGCTGCAGCAGCACTTGGATTACCCACACCATTATCATCATTATCATCATCATCATCATCATCATCAGCAGCAACAGCAGCAGCAGCAACATCGACAACATCATCAACAAATAGGTAAAATATTTGACCAAAATTGATTTTAAAAATAACTAAATCCCAAAAAAATATTTCATATTTTCATTTTTGGTTGTTCAGTTTGTTTTTTCAATTTCAATTATTATTTTGCTTAAAAAACAAATTATCCCGATGATTCTTATGATCCACCACCATCGGTCCCTATTGACTAATCAAAAAAAAAACCAAAAATAGATCCGACTAGTCAATTCTAATAATTTTTTGTTATTGTTTTGTTTTGGGTAAGGTTGACAATTATTATTATTATTATTATGTGTTTTTGGTCGTTTGTTTTGATGCTTACGGCCAATAATTGTCATCATCATTTATATTATTGATTTTGGTAAAAGCTGGACATTTTCTTTTTTTAATTTACTGAATGACATCATCATCATCATCACAATGAGAGAAAGTAAAATGAATGAAAAACATAATCATTATGATGATCCAGGAACAATATCCAATCATTTTGATGATGATGATGAAAACTTATTACATTGACATCATTGTCAATGATTGTTTGTGTTTGTAATGTCATTTTCACCTAAATATCGATTATATCGATTTTTTCGTTCCTTGTTTTTTATTTTTAGTTGGTCGGTTGTTTGAAAAAATTATTACCAAAAAACTACTAATCTCTTTTCGAGAAAAAAAATTTCAATTTTCCAATTTTTCGTTTTTTTTTATTTATCTTGAGAATTTTTAATGATTTTTTTTTGTTTTGAAAATCATCATCGATAAAGTCACATAAATTTTCATTGCTGCTAATATGATGATGATAGAGGAGCGAAAGGAAATTGGCAACAAAAAATGTCAATTTTTTCGTAAAAATGACAAAATGAAAATTACATTTTTTTCCTCGGCACAATTCTGTTGTAAATGTAATGAATTTTCACGTTTTTACGTTGAAAGTAATTGTTTTTGAAGAAGTAAAAATTGCAACATTCATCCAAACAAACCGAAAATGATGACCGTAATCATTAATCATTCTTGATTTTCAAATTCCCATCATCATCATCACAAATGAATAAAACTTATAAGTTTTTTTTTGTTGGAAAAAAAGTGTGAATGTCGTCGATAATCTTTCTTTTTTTTTATTTCACTTCATACATCCTTCTTTAGGCTTTTTATTTAGTCGAAGTATTTTTTGCCATCAAAAATGTAAACTCAACAACAACAATTCAGTGTGAAAGAAGCGTGCATTTTCATTCATTCATTCATGTGTGTGTGTGTGTGTTCTTTGGGCTGATGCAAAAGTAACATGAAAGGGTTAAAAAAAACTTGATAACACTAACTAACTAACTAGGGAGACGAGATGAAAAATAAAACAAAACAAAAAGAATAATTCTATGCGACATGCGATTCTTGTATTCAGTGAAAAAAAAAGAAAATTCTGTGATTCTTTCTTTCTGTGTGACACATCTACCGTATCCGTTTAATTATCCTAAACACACACACTGTAGTTTTTTTTTAATGTTGATAGATTTTTTTTTCACTAGAATCATGAACGTCAGTAGTGAAATGTGAATTAACGAAAAAAAAACTTTATCTCGAATAAAACAGAAATCTTTTCTCTTGTTATATGTTTGGTTGGATAGTAATAGGGGGTTAAATGTTTTACGATCTAATTAAAAACACATTCGTTATTCGTTATTCGTTGAGAGAAGAAAAATGAAAATGAAAAAAAAACTTTTTGATTCATTTAGATGAAAAAAATGCAAAAAAAAAAATTCTAGAGAAATTTTTCCTGATCTGTTTGCAACGATAATCAATGGAAAACATTGAAAAAAACTGGCAAGCCATTTGGCCAAGAAAAATTCATTTCGGAAATTTGATAATTTTAAATAATTTTTTTTTCTCTTGTGCATAATTCATTTATGATAATCATCTTAATCATTCTTTTTGGAAAAAAATATTAAGATATGAAAATGAATGAATGAAAAAATTTTTCCATTGAAAATTTGAATATCCATTGAACTTGGCAATCGAAAAAAAAGGTGCAGCCAAAAATTTTCGTTAAATTCATTTCCAATTATCATCCGATCATCATTGTACCGCTATATAAAAATACCCCTAATCAATCAAAAAAAACGACAACATCAGCCTTACACGCATAACACACACACATTACAAAAAGGAAAAATCATTCATCAAATGAGCAGCAAACAAACGAATATTTGAATAATTTTAATTGCTAGGTTCTTTGGTTTGGTTTGATCCATGATCATGGTTGATGAATGATTCGTTCGATAAATCCGTTTCACTTTTCTTCCACTGCCACCACCACCACTGCTACTTTTTTTCAGGATGTAATTACGTTTTCATTACGTCACTTGAAAAAAATACATCATCATTTGATAATCAACCAATGAAAAGTAAATGTTTAGAAAAGTTTCCCGTACAACTAGAACCATTTTCGGAAATTTTCTCTAATCAATCAAAAAAAAAAAAAAAAAAGAAAAGAAAGGGCAAA